ATAAACTACTTGCCAGATTTTTGGATCAGCATGCCTGTCCTTTTCTCAAGATCATCTGGGAAGTTCCATTTAAAAAAATTTTTGTCATAGGGGTGCTAATGATATGTTCATTATTCCCTTCCACAGAAAGTGGACCAGTTTGTGACGTTAGGTACTTTGTGCAAAAGATATGTATCTAACTGTCATTTCCAGGCGTTTGGTTGTATGTGTGTGGTCAGCAAGATATGGAGTCTTCTGAAACTGATCCCTTATGTGAAATTCATACCCAGGTGATTCTATCCAGCCCTGTTCTGATAGCACTACCAAAAGAAGTACCCCCAAGTGGATCTCCTCTGTATGTCAGGTAATTGATTTTGGTAAATAATTTGTTTTCAACTTTTTTATTACCCATTGTCATGGGCTCTCAAAACTGCCTGTCTTGATTAGTATGGTCATAAAATTTCACACCATAATTAATTCTGTTAATCGGTCTTTTGCAGCTTATTTAGAATGGCTTGGATAATTAGATGTGTTCTCTATAACTGTATTTTGTTCAATAAAAGGAAACATGACAGATAATGTATTAATGGAAAATTAATAATTTTTGAATCTTCCATTAAGCTTTTGTTTTCTAATCAAAGCAAATTACTGGTGCATGCATTTATATTTGAAAAAATATTTTTGTTGTCTTCGTCAGGAACTGTCATAGTCCTGTTAAAGGATTTCAGGCTAGAATATACAAAATATCTAAAGACAACTGGATTAATAATCATAACCTGAAATAAATTAATGATCACTGAAGATCTGGGAACCACATTTATACTTGATTTATCCAAGTATTATTTTAGTGGTACTTTAATGCAGTGATGCATGGGCGCTGTTGATATAAAAACTCAAACTCTGCAATGTTGACATTATTTTCTCTGCTGGGGTTTTTTTCATGTTCTTAGCATCTCCACCCTCACCTCAAATCCTGCACATGCACTGGCACAATTTCATGGGAGTTTAGAATAGGGGTTTTTTTTAATAGAGTGTCCTGTCCTGGAGACCTAAAAATTAGAAGGTGGTGGCTTGTGTATGTTTGAAGTCCTATGACTAGAAGAGAAAAGAGGAGCACATTGTGGGTCAAAGTCACCAGCAAGCAAGCAATAGCAAGGGAAACATATATATATGCCTGTACATGAAAAGAGCAAAGATGAGGAGATATAATGGAATGGCCTGTAAGTGAGCAATAAACATAGACAATCTAAAGGGACAGAAGAAACCAAAGGAGACAAAAATTATAAGCAAAACTGTATGGTTTGACTAGTGTCATTTTGTGTTTGGTCTTGGTCTTTTTTTTGTATCCAAGGCAAAATAAATGAAAATTATATTAATACTAGTCAGAACTTAACCTGCTTTTGTAGACAATTGCTATATATAATGAAAATGGGACTCTGTAGTTAGGGATCAAACTCCTTTTTTATTATCTTATTCTCACTTTATGCTTTATTGACCTGATAGAATATTTCCCAAAAAGTCTGTAGCTAGGCAGAGACTTTTGTTGAAATTTGAAAGTTTGCTATGCATAATGCCCATATATTGACCCAAGATTACTTATTTTTTATTACATAGAATTACATTGTTGCTCAAAACCAATACTATCTACCCCTTACAGAAGGCATGACATTTTGACATGGTACAAGAGAGTTTTATTTTACAATAAGATTATTTAAACTGGGAAATGGCAGTGGCAGCTTCACTAGCTCATGGTTATATGGTAAATTCGTCTTGTAGTTATGAGCCAGAAACCTTGGTGAGGAGACCTGAGAGGCAAGGGAGTGAGCATGCAACTCCTCAAGGACCCTGTCGTGGGACAGTCCTGGGACTGGGAGCCCGGTGTATCCTGGGATTTCTTATACCCTGTCTGGAAGTTTGAATTATGTAGTAGTTCCCATGTTAGTGGAGGTCTGCTGCTGCTCCTGTGGTAGCAAGGTAGCTGGTAGCAAGAGAGCTGTTCATAAGCCACATGTCTCTAAACCCCACACACTGATTGCCCATATATAAAACATGTGAGCATATAAGGAATTCTGTATGATGGTCTGTATCAGCAGGAGACAAATTTAACCACAAGGGGAAAAATTAGATAAAACTAATGAAGTACACATTCCAGAATGCAGGCAATTAGCCAAAGATGCATATTTTGACCCTGTAAGGTATGTGATGCCATTTTAAGTAGGTGGGAAAGCAGAAAAGCAGGTTTGCACATGTTTTTTCTTCTTGGAAACCATTCTATATTGTCTAGGAACACTGTTTAGATCAGCTAAGCAAGGAAATAACAGTATTTAGTAATCATTGCTTCATTCAAAGAGATCGAGACTTTTGATTCCAGTGCTTTAGAATCCTGTTTTTAGATGATACTGTGCTGCATGAAATTAAAAGTGTACTGAACAATTTGAAGAGTAGGCTATATTAGATCTGGAGTGAATACAACCACCATAAGAATTTTATTATTTGCATTTGTTAGTTTTTCTGTAGTTCTTTAAGCATGCTTAGTTTCATTTTTTGTGAAAAGGTTTTCTATTTATTGGAATGTTAGCTGGGAGTACCCACCAGAGTTGACTGAGCCAACATGCCAAAATCACCATGTATGGTATGGTGGGTACGTTCATGTACTGCATGTTTTGTGACCTTACTGGTTCAGACTTTAGCACAGATGTCTTTTTCAAGTAAAAAAATAAGACAAACTGAACACCCCTCCTAACAACACTCTTTAAAGGAATGTGCATACATACACACACACACACATATATTTATACTTATATATATGTGTGTGTGTTTAAAAATTCTGATACAGGCAGAGTGAGTCTTAAGAATCCTTTTTTCTATAAATGTATATATATGATGTGCAAACTTAGATGGTACTACTCATTTTATGTCTATGAAAAATAGCTTGATATTGAAGGATATTCAAAATAAAGTTTGGTTATAAAAGAGGATAAGCGTTTTTCTTAGTAAGTTTTTGATAAAACTTTTGGTTTCTTGCCTCTAGCTGGGGGAAATATAATTTCTAAGTGTCAAAGTTGTCTAACGGTCTATGAACACTCATTTTAACGTCATTTAATAATATGGTGATCAGCAGTCATTTCTATGGAAGACTTATGGACTACGAAAATACAGATTTCTTTGGAAAGTGGTAAACAATGCTTTTAATCAGTGTGGCAGTTACAATATGTGCTTCTGATATTTTATTCTCTGAGACATTACAGAGACAATCAATAAACAGGTGTATGAAGGTTATTTAATTTTCATATCTCCTATATTCCCAAAAGAATAGGACTGCTAAAATAACGGTGGATAGGATAGTTCTTGTAATACTACATCATCCTATATTTGATCTGCATGTGCTCTGCATTACTACTTTTGAAGAACATGAAAGGCCCTCCTGATCCTCATGTGAACTTAGTGCTGTCTGGGGAATGAAGGGATTGAGAACAGCCCTGTAGAGAAGAACTTGGGAGTGCTGATGGCTGAAAAACTGCATGTGACCAGGCAATGTGTGCTTGCAAGCCCAGGAAGCCAGTTGTATCCTGGGCTGGATCAAACAAAGTGTAGCCAGCAGGTAAAGGGAGGTGATTTTCCCCCTTGTACTCCACTGCTGTGAGACCCCAGGTGGAATACTGTATCCAGCTTTGGGGCCCTCAGCATGAGAAAGACATGGACCTGTTAGAGAGATGGCAACAAACATGGCCAGAGAGCTGGAGCACTTGTCCTGTGAAAACAGACTGAGAGGGTTGTGGCTGTTCAGCTGGCAGAAGAGAAGGCTCTGTGGAGACCTTATAGCAGCTTTACGGTATCTAAAAGAGGCCAATCCAGACTGTTCTCTGATTCTGTAATTCTGTGATTGATTCCATGATTCTGTGATTCTGTGATTCTAAACACAAAATAGAAAAAAAAAATTATTTGTACAATGCAAATATGTGACTGGAGTTGGCAGGAGGAAGGAATAATGGTTAAAAATTGCCAGACATCAGTTGAAAGTCACTATCCATCTGAACATAAGGAGAGTTGAGAGAGGGGTAATGTCAACTGACCATATATAAATTCCACATATTTGTGGAGAGTTCAGTCAACTGTAAGATAGCTTGATGAGGAATGTCTTTGGCTTAGATAAAATGGTGAAGAAGAGCTATTTTAATATCTTCAGTTTTGTGTTCAAGTCTGTGTCTTGACAAAGATGGATAGAAAACTTTTCAATGTGATCTCCACCATTGCTTTTCCAGTGCAAGCAAATGTAGGGGGGGCCATAAAGATACAGTAGATTTGTTCAAGGATCAGGGATGGAAGCAGCACCATTATTTGACTTTTCTCTTTGACAGATGACTGGAATTGAAGACTTGTCTGGAGCAAATATTACCTCATAACATATTTGGAACCAACACAACTAGAAAGCTTATAAAGGAAATTGTAATGAGCTAAAATATGAAAAGGAGAAAAATATTGTTTCCTTCATCCAAAATTCACAATTTGTCCATTAATGCAGCGTAGACTGTCTGTTGCGGGAGTAGTTTATTTCATTCACTACTCTGTGTATGAAAACAGGTAATGCTTCCCAGATAAGGTATGTGTGGACATCTCAAACAACTTGAATGAACAGTTTCTTCTTATGTGATGATATGCAGTCTTGCTAATGATGGAAGGTTAACAAGGAGGTCACTGTCATTTTCTGTGCTAGCGTATCAAGCCAACACTTTCTTGCTGTTTTTTCAGACCTAATTATCTGTAAGCTACTACTGAGCTAGTAGCAAGCTATGTTTAGAGTAGTTTCTGTAGTAACACCTTGTGCAAGTTTCCCGCCAGGCCCCCGAAACCCGACAACAAGGACCTGTCTCCCAGAAGGGGAAGAGAAAAGAAAGAACCCAAACAGCCAAAGCTATAGCAAATATATATATATATATATATTTTACATATGAGACAGATACATAAAAGGGGAATACCACACACCGGGGGGTGGGGGGGAAAGGGAAAGGGAAAGGGAGAAGGACAAAAAGGGGCAAGGACCGAACAAGTCAACCAGCCAACCGAAGGCAAGCTAGCAAAAATCTCACCACTTCCCTTCGAACAGGCAGGATGGCTAGACACGGCCCAAGGCTCTCCCCTCACGCGTGGCAGATTACGGCAGTCACTGTAGGCCTCGGCTCCAGATAAGCCAGACTGAAACAGGGACCCGCCGTTCTCGAACCTCGCCGGAAAGGAAGAGAGCGAACTATCTTATCAATGCCTTATTTATACCCTAGGTTACGTAATGGAATAGCATGGAATACTTCCTTGGTCACCTTCCTAGTTCCTTCCTGGTTACAAGCTGGTTTCCAGGAAGGCCTAGACTGAAACCATCACACACCTGGTAAGAGCAGGGCCTACTAGCTCCAAAATCCGTGGCAGTTGAGCCCATACAGCAATCTGCTTTCAATTTTCTCACGAGCATTCCTGGTTTTGCTTTTCAGCCTTTGGGAACGTTAGGGACCAGTTTTCCTTTTCCTCTCTAAAACAAATATCAGCAGTCAAGATCCATAAACTCACTGTTGAAAAGTGAAAACAAGTGCTGACTTAGCCACAGGGAGTTGAAACTAGGTTGCTCCCATAACAGGTTTGCGTAGAAATAACTGCTGTGATAGCTGGGAGGATCTTGTAAGTTTGCTTTTTATTGAAATTTCCACATGGGCATCTTGCACGTGGCATTGTGCTTTTGCATCATTGCTTGAATTACACGGGCTGCGCAAACTGTTTTGGGACACCAGAACAGTAACTCTTGTTGAGACCATTCACTCATTGGAGCGCCATTGAATCAGTATTGTCTGGTGTTAGCCACTGCATCCCTGTGCTCTGAAACATGGCAGTGTTCACTTCTGGGAACTGTGCTTTCTGCCTTGTATTTCTCCCCATTGCATTCTGAAGGTGAAATTAGAGCTATTCTTTGCTTTTTAAGAGTTGCATATCTGAATTAGGTAGGGTTAGCTCCCTTGAAGACATGTGATGTGCTGCTATACATTTACATCATCTCTGCAGTGAGAAATAAATCCAGCAAACAAGACTAGTTTCATTAGCCTTAACTTTATAAATTTTCCACACTAGGCAGTTATCTAGTTAACATATGGATCGTACAATAGATGATCCTAATAAGACTATGCTGTAAGCCACTTGAGGAATTCGGCTGCTGTGATCAATCACAAGAGCATTTGCTCTAGGGCCATGTGTTATTATTTATAATATATACTGTTTATACTTCATAAAATTCCCTTATCACTCCTTATTTCCTAAAATCAATTTATTGAAAGAAAGAGCCAGAAGATTTATCACTTTTATAATAAAATATCTGACTTCACCTGCCAGAAGTAGCCAAATTGATTTTTAACGTCTGTTAATGATTTAACTTTCCCTTTTTACTGACGTCAGTGGAAGGGTGTTACCACTCCCAGTCCTCAGTGAAAGGGTATTTTCATTTTACAGAAAAATATACCGCTTGTCTCTGCACTTATATATGCTTAATGTATACTACACTTTAATTTCTTGCCAGTAAAATGTTTAAAGTTTAGGTAGAGCCTAGATAATAGGAAAATTGGAGAATCTAAATGTGATGCTGGGCAAGAGGGCATAGAAAGGCTTTTTTTTCAATTATTCATATCTTATATTTACTCTTCTATTTATTATGAATACATAACTGAAGACATTACTTTGGTTTGCTTTCTTTTCAATCTTCTGGTTACCATTCAGTGATACTCAGATGAAGTACTAATTAAGTTAAGCCCCAAGAAGTGTGTGTGTGCATATGCATTTTTAGAAGAAAACACATTTCAAAAGGAATAGAAGTCATTAATTTAATCAATACTGTCTTATGACTCATGATATATAACATAAACACAGATACGATTTTCTTCATTTCACAGGAAAAAACATTTTCTTAAAGCAATCATTAGCATCATGTTCTGTGTAAGACCAGTATGGATTTTAGTCTTAACTGTCCTTATGTGATAGATTTTCTTTGTTCAAATGGATTTTCCACTCTTATTAAAAAGTTGCTATAAATGCCTAACATTGATTATAAGTGGATGAGAGATTACTGTGAATCTAAGATCTTATCAGTTAAACAAAATGCATCTTTATTTACATGTTCTTCATAAAAAATGAGTTAACCAGAGGTTCCTATCTATCATATTTTCAATTTTTACCTAATGTCTGTTTGTCAAAAACATTTTATATAAACTTAAAAACTTTGGTTTGCCAATACTTTTATTTTGCGAGTTTTCCACATCTAGAATGGTTCTCTTGTTTCATAGTAAGAGAAAGAAGAGCACCCATTACAGAGTAACCAGAGGGATGAGAAAGATGTGCACAGTGAGGAGTTTGAAATCTCTTTCTCTGTTCATTTGTAAGCTGTCACTGATAACTGCTACTGCAAAGTCTTATAGTATGGTTCTTTGTTGCTAAAGAAGGAAGCTGTGATGGAACGGTCATTCAATTTGGTTAATTCTCAAACTGGGAAAGAATTTTCTAGGCTCCCTGTTATGTCAGAAGCATGTGGGTTTATGCACCTTATGGAACATGCAGATTGTTTTCTGAAAGTGCCTATTTTGCTTTCTTCAGTATACGGTAAGCTTAGGAATACCGCCTTCCTAATTTAGCACATGCAGGTTAACTTCTGGCATCTTTGCGATTAACCACTCTAGATCTGTGACCTGGGGGCAGCTTGTGAGGCCACAGGCTGGTGCAGAGGGCACTCAACTGTTTTGTAAGCATCACAGGAATCTGAATCTGAATCTGGTCTGTTTAAATTTCAAATGATCATGTTTTGGTTTTTTTTTCTGATAGGAAAAAAAAAATTCTGAAATTTTTGAGCTAACAGGTGGCATGAGCTGTAATCATGAATACATTTTACCTGTTGTATTAATTCCTTAGAAGGGAAAGGTTCTTTCTCACATTGACTTTGAAGTCTCAAATCAGATTCAGTCATTAAAAAAGAAAAAAATTACTATGTCTGTATTCTGAATAGTAATCAGTTCTCACTAACTAGTACTTAAGGTCATGTTTTAACCTGTTAAAATTATATTATCGAAACCATTATTTTTAAGGTCTGTCTGAAGAGCCTAGCCTTTTGACTGTTTTGCTCTGGGCAAAAGTGAAATGTTGCATTCTTCAAATCCACTTGCTATGACTTGAACAGTGGGTAAGCAGTTATTGGTCAAGATAATATTGATATTTTAAATTACTTTTATAAAAAAAATGGTTATATTAAAATTAGGTACAGGATGACTTCTTCCTTTTCTTCCCTTTCTTTTCTCTCTCCACTGTCCAAGAAGATCACTCTTCAAGCAGAAGAAATTTTTTGAGATTATCTTCATTTCAGTAGTCCCTTTACACAGATGGATACCTGTGTTAATGGTGATATTAATTTTTCGATCTCAAGAGAAGACTATCCTTATTTTCTCAATGTCTTTCTTACACCAGGTTAGTAATAGCTAGTTTGTTACCTACTCTAACAAGAGCATAGATAGTTATAGCTGTATAATTGCATTTTTCTCTGATAGAAACCACATTCCATGGGCTAAGTATATGAATGAGCATGCATGTGACAAGATTACTGACTGTGGCAGGAACTTATACCAGAGGGAAGGAAATCCCAAGGACAGTAGCAGTTCATAAAATATGATGTGTATACCATGTCTAAGAAATTTCAAACCTGGGAGGAAGCACTAGAAGGTAATCAGGAGCCTTTAAATGTGGCAGTAGATACGACAGATGTATGAATATATTTTTGTCTTCATTAGCAAGTCAGGTAACTGGCAGGAATTAGAGGACAAGGGAAGGAAGATTGGCAGAGACAGGTCATATGCTGTTTAAATAATTATTTATGGATTTATGTGGAGAAGCAACTTCACACTGGCAGAGCACATATCTCTGAGGGTGATGAATGTGTGGTTCAGCCAAATCAAATGCTAAAATTTCCTTACGCCTTGGAATCCGTATAGCTTCCTTTTGATTATATAGCTAGCGTATACCATTTTTCATCAAGAAGTATGACTGCCCATATGGTGAGCAAATCTGTGCAATGTAACTATATCACTCCAGAAAATTGATTTCAAACGTGTCCATAGGTGGGAGAAACACTATAAAAAGTACACTTCGGGGCCCGCTGAAGTACCATTGAGAGTCTTGGCTAGCAATGTAGGAGCCTTTCCATTTATTTGGCTAATTGGCATAAATACTCTTTCAGGGAGGTAACAGAACTGACAACAGAAAGCACCATGGAAAAAATTGCAGAGAAAAATGACTTGGTTTAATCATTGACACGGGATGAAGAATGCATGGTTCACATAAGATCGTAGTAAAAAGCATGAACTGCAAAAGGTTATCTGGGAAATCGTTGTATTCCACTTACAATAAGTTTTGTACATAAAATGGCTTTCACAAGAGGTGAATTGATGCAATGAACTTAAGAATAAGGTTCTCAACAATTTTTTTTTTGGCAAAATGAAAACAAAGGACTGGTAATACAAGCTGACAAAATTCATTATTCAAATCAGAACCACGTCCTCAACTTTCTGCTAGCAGTTAGCTGTGAGGAAAAGTGTGAGTGGACTATTTGTGTAATCTACTGCAAGTACACTCGTGTTACTCCTTGGTTTTTTTAATTTGGTACTTCTTTGACAGTTCTTAATATATGAAGCACAAGTGGTAGTTATTGCTGATAGTAGAAAAACAGTTCACATACCCTAGCCTTCTGTGGCATAGGTGTACTGTGTGTTGCAGTTCTTATCAACAGAGCATATAATCTCCATTGGCAAAACGGCGACAAGTCAGTACAAGCAGGAATCAGAAAGTTAAGAATGCAGCAATCTTTTAACACAGAGAAGTAATAATGTTATGTTTTCTTACCTGCAGTAATTTATCATTTGTTGCAACATTTTGACAGAGGTTCTAATTGTCCTTTACTGCATATGTAATTTGTTGAAAATGGAAGCGGAAGTTGAATTAAGTAAAGATCTTTTTTTTTTTTTTTTTGCAAAAAGAAGTAATAATGTTATGTTTTCTTACCTGCAGTAATTTATCATTTGTTGCAACATTTTGACAGAGGTTCTAATTGTCCTTTACTGCATATGTAATTTGTTGAAAATGGAAGCGGAAGTTGAATTAAGTAAAGATCTTTTTTTTTTTTTTTTTTTGGTAGAACATCTATGACACCCATGTGCACGCTTTAATCACAAGTTAAGAGCATAAGTAAGAGTGTTCTTTTCTCAGGGATTGGATCTAAGCTCTGAAGAAGCATGACTCTTTTGAAGACCTAAATAGAATTTGACATCTAACCTGAGTTCTGTAAAAACCTACCTGACAAACTGCAGTTAATACCCCACACGAGCAACTGGATAAACCAGAACAGGCTTACTAAATTAAAAAAAATATTAAAAAAATTAGAAAGATTAAAAATATGCAAGATGTCAAAATTTTATTTTCAGAGGCAAACATTTTTTACTAAAAATCGATGAGTTCTGGAAACATAGATGAAACAAGTTTTTGGTTAGGTTAAGCACTTTAAGGCAATATAGATAGGACTGTGAATCATTTACATAGTGCAAATATTTTTTTCAGGCTAATCCCAGGTTTTTATTTTTTCTTTAAGAACTGATTAGTTATTCCACTGAATTATGCCAAAGTTCTTCTTAATCCAGCATTTCCTTAACTTTTCCTCATATTACACCCACCTTGTCCCATTCAGATCAGTGGTGTTGCCTAAAGAGAGACTGCAGAGAAAAAGAGGCCAAGATAAGATAAAGAGAGTAGGTCCTTTAATCAGCCTACAGGCCCAGGGAATACACATAATGCATACGTGTCCATACAGTGGTTGTATGATTTTATAATAAGGTCCATCCAGTCCCAGATTTGTCCACCCCCACTTCTGCCCCCTGACTCGCCCCTTTGGGAATTGGGTCTGGGGGCGTTTGGGACCCTTTCTTCCTCATCTTTTTCTTTTTTTGCAGCATGTATAGTCCTTGGAGCTCCTCCAAAGTTCTGGGCTTGAAGGTCACTGTCTGTGTGATACCTTCTGGTCCAGGCCTAGAGTGCTTTTCTACAGTTCTATCTTGAAAAGAAGACTAAACATGCTAATGGAATTTAGAGGGATTGATATGGAATGGCGTAATAAGGTTGGGTGTGTGTAACTATTATGCTTCAGGGTAAGGGATATAATACAGCTACATTAAAATCTACATTTACTACACAACTACTTCTAAAATCTACAAAAGTTAAAAAATCCAAAAAGCTCTGAGGCATCAGTCCCCCCTTTAGGGATGGACAAAACTCAATCTTATCCAATCTCTACCACTTATACCTAGCATTATACCAAAGGGATGACCAACACCTACAGCATCAGGTCATGTAATGAGCTATTACACAAACACTAATTATGTATGTCACTAATAGAAACAGTTGTTTTATCCAGGTCCAGTTGGTAGCTATGAAGTAAGTTTATAGATGTTATCTCCGTAAACCTAATGAGACATTCTCAGGAATCATCCAGTGGAGAATTTAAACTTGTTGCCAAATTTCAGCCATAGTGCAAATCCAGCACTCACTTTCATGAAAAATATTGGATGCATTTTTACTAAAATAAAATGTAAATTTTGGTTTTAAACCCGATCCATACTTATCAGTGGTATTAGACAATACACACAGAAAAATAGTTTAAACATAATTTTAACAGTTTGTAACAGAGGCTTTCTTCCCTCTGGGTAGCAAATCCAGGGTTCTTTGCCAACAGCTCTGACCACGATGGAGATGGTCAGCAGAACTTGAAACAGTTCTTTCCATTTGACTTGCAGGGGTTTCAGTCCCACTGTTTAGCATAGGCTGGACAGTTTGTGTTTATAGTTTGTGGGCTGGAACAGATGAACAGGATTGTCCAGTCCCAGAGGTCTAGATGACATGATGATTCCCTGCAGTTTCTGCAAAGCAGAGTCTAAACCATTCAACAATTCTGCAGATTAACCTTCCCTTATGTGAGTAGGGATCACGTTGTTTTTCCACCTTGAATTGTATGTGGATCTTTTAAAAAGGCCATATGCAGGACCTGAACCGACATCATAGATGTTTCTTGACAAACCCTGTTTGTTTGTGTTTTGTGAGCCGATGAAGTGTGACTCTCTGTCCAATGACAATCTCACAGGAAACCCAAATCTTGGAATTCCTGCATCTTGACTGTGTGAGAGGAACTCGAGCTTTTATAACATACAGTGATTAACTGCCAGTCATAGATCTATAGGCCAGTTAGGAGCTTACCAGAAGCAGACTGTGTCTGAATGCAACACCAGACAGCACCCTGGCAGTGCCAGTAGTTCATCGCAGAGAGCTTGTACTCTCTGGACAGATTCCAGGCCTTATCGGGGGACAGGCCATCCTGGCACAGTCTGCCCCAGACTGCACTCAATCATCTTTACCTCATGGAGTGCTAGTGCAGGTACCTCTTGCCTCCATGGATAAAAGCATCCTCATGTATTGGGTTAGGTGCACTCGTGTATATGTGCCTGTATGTGTATGTGGACACCAAGAGAATAGCTGTATTACAATAAAGCTAGGAAGCAATCTAAGCAAACCATTTAAGCGATCTAATCAAATCATCCCACTAATGATGGGGTTTGAGACCAGTTTGTCTCAAAGACTGCAGGCAAGATGCAAGTCATGTCTCAGGGTGCCATGGGAAGGTCCACAGAACCAGTGCCGTTGCAGTGCTGCAGCCACCTTCTCACCCCCCTTTCCGTCCTAACACAGGACTCTTCTGTGAAACTCAGTGTTCACACACTCCTAGATGACACTGGATGACAAAGTATTTTAGATGCATAAGGTAGATAAATTTGATCTCACAATCACATGAAATCCTATACGGATTTCCCCACCAAACCATCCCTTTCACAAGATGCAGTAGCCAAAGAGACGCAGATATTCCAAACAGTGTTTGCAAAATGTTGTTAAACTTCTCTGTCCTAGTTAGAACAGCTGGGACCAGTTCATCACTGGATAGGTGTAACCCAAAACTGTGTATTCTATAGCCTTCCATGCCATTTCCCAGAAACTGTTATCAATAGACCATTTACACCATCTGCCCAGAGCAGGCCTGACTCCTCAGGCTATAAACTGGGTGTTAAGAGGCCTGTGAGATAAGAGGATGCTCCTGTCCTCACACCCATTGTGGAACTCCCCACCCTGAGGGAGGTACTGGGCATTCCTGCCTGAACTGGAGGATATATAATCTTGGGACTTTTTTAACCACTCATGGAATCCAGAGGAAGACTGCAGACCACCACTCTCAACCAGATTGCAGACCACTACTCTCAGCCAGACTGCAACCACCACTCTCGACTGGACTGCAACCACCACTTTTCAACCGGACTGCAAACACCACTCTCGACCGGACTGCAATCACCACTCTTGACCAAACTGCAACAGCACTCTCACCCACAGGTTTTCCCCTCTCCTTTTACTTTGAACTCAGGGGGCCCAAAGAACACCACTCTGTTCATGCCCCAGGGTGCTGGGTTATACATTTGGGTTTTGTGGGTTAAAACCAATTGTTTGTCTGTATAATCATACTTATTGTATTATTTTATTAAATTGTTATTGTGACTTATAATCTCTCTTTTGAGTTGAGTTCATTTCCCCTGCTGGTTTACCTTTAAACCGGCACGTGCTCGAACGGAACATATACAAATATGAACATTGCAAACTTTAAAGCAGTCACTATAGCAAAAGCAATATAAGCTTTCAATTCTACTGTAATTAAACTAACAGTAAGAGAAGCCTAACAGCAACATAGGACAGAAGATAAAAAACCCAAATACAGTAGTCATGGCACTGTCTGGTGTTCTCACAGTATTATTCAAATTGCAGTCTGATTCTTATATTACCACCTTTGGAGATCATAGGCTGATCTTACAACAGTTCTTAACCGTGACAGAAGCTTTTACCTTAGGAATTCTTGTTACAGTCCAAATCCTTTTGTCTTGATGTGTCTAACTTGCAGTTGTTAAGGCACGTTCCATTATTTGTTCGCTTCGGCATAAAAGTTGTTTCCACTTTCAGTCTCAGTTCTGGTGGCACAGTTTCCAAGTCTGTCTGCTGAAATAAGACTTTCTGCAAACAGTCAACTTCTGATACATTGTTAGGTCACATTGAAAGCAAAACAGTGGTTTCGCCCCAGCCCCCCGAACTGATTCAGGGCACAGAGGGCAGGAATGTTCATGGACTGCGAGCCTGGAACAGGCCCAGAGCACATGGGCCAAAACAACTAGCTCTTCTTTCCCTCCCCCCCCTCCTCCTTCGTGTTAGTCCAGCGGGCGGGGGGAGGGCCACAGCGGTGGGACAGTGCCGGTCGCTCAGCCTTCCGAACCTCCTGTACCCCTCCGCAGGTCACCATAGGGACAGTTACCACAAGAGCCAGTCTTGGGTAAGCTTCCCTTGTGAGCTTCCCTTCTCGCTGTTGCAAAACGTATCTTTCCTGGTTTTCGCCTACTCCTGGACTGCGTTGCTATGGCAACATTAGGAGCAGGAGCCCGAGCAGGCAGGGCACTGCCAACTCGGCAGGTGGGGCGGGCCCAGGGGCGGTCCGGGGCAGGACCATTCGTGCTCTGGTTCACTCTCCTCTCCGAGGCGGAGAGCTGACCTGCCGGGTGGGTGGCTGCGCCCACGGCGGCTTTGGGGGTCCGAAACCGGACTTCCCAAAACTGGGGGGGAAAACCAAGTGTTGTGATTAAAAAATCCGAAAAGCTCTGAGGCATCAATAGGTAACCAAAAATGCTTACAGGCAGTGGTAAGGTGTGACTGTTTTGCTTTTTCTAACATAATCTGGTAGAGTCAAGAATGCCACACTACGTATTAAAAAAAAAAAAAAAAGAAAGAGTATTTTCTTTAGGCTGGGACAACTGCATTCTTATTTAAACTTCTTTGCTTTTCAGATGCAAAGGAAAAGGATTTCTATTTATGAAGGCAGTTTGTTGAACTTTGAGCTATTGATAGAAAGGTTCCCAGCACACTGCTGCATTCCACAAGTGCCTTTAGTTCCTGATGAGTATTAAAGGTTATGGTGTGGCAGTGGATTTGTCCCAAGCAGGTTATAGTACAACTCAAACAGACGTTGAAATAAGAATATATATTTAAAGGATACTAGCCTGCCAAAATCAAACTCTTAATTAAACTGTCTGGGTGTAATAGAATTCTAATCCCTATTCCATGTGATATGAGTATTCTGCTGCAGTTCTGAGTGCTGTATGTCACGGTGGGCTTGTCAAACTCTGGTCCTTATTCAAAATTAAAGATGCTGGAATTAGTTTAGGGCTTTAGACAGGACAAGTCCCAAGCTGACATCTTTTTTTTGATGTATGTGTTTTCCTTTTCTTTTTGTTTTTATGCATCTTTTAATTTTCATCAAGATCTCTTTCATGCTATGCAGTGAAAACACTAGTAAGTTTATGGTTCAAAAATGTTGTAGGCTTTGCAGACTTAAAAGTTCCTAGGTAAAATTGCTACCAACCATGTGAAAAATCACTTGGATTTTCATCTCCCTGTTTTGTCAATGAGTATCTTTGTATTTTGCAAAATATGTTATAGGAATGGGATAAGCAGGATGAAAAGTACTTGGGACTAAGAAGACATTCCTGAGAGCAAATTATTGAATAGACAGATGGGAGTGAATGTTTGGGTGATATCTACTTTTCTGTACCCTTTGTCCTCCTTCTTTTGGGACACAGATCAGTGGGACATGCTATCTATTAAATGCTGTAGGAGTGAGCATGCATCATATGAATTAAGCATTCTTTCAAACCTTGACTTTAATAACATATGCAGAAAATTCTCCAGTGACATAGTTTGGAACCAAGT